GTAGTCTAGCGCTAGGTAAAAAACAAAAAACTGTCTGCAGAATATCAATAGCACAGCTATGGAGGGTGGGGTGGTTGGCCATGGGGTGCGCTGATTAACCGTGGTGGGTATGGGTGCGTGTGGTTGGCAGTGATCGCATCTCTCTTCCATTGCATGGTGGAGGGGGAAGAGCTGTCAACTAATCACCAGCTGGTGGTTAGCCAAGATGGTGGGGGAGGTTGCCAGTCAGGCTTTACATAGTGCTGGGCCAAATCATATCATTACCGATGATACCGGTAAAAATAAAATGCCAGAGAAACTGAATTACACCATGAAATGCTAATTTCATGGCGTAAAAACTTAACGTCACCCCAGTACGCAGAGGGTCCTGCAGCGATATTCAAGTAGCAAAGGTGAATACGAAGATGTCTGAAAGCAAAAAGAGGTATTTTGGATACAAACTTGCAGATAAAGAACAGACCACTGTAATATGCAAGGAATGCAGGACGCCTGTAATTTAGAGTGGGAAATACATCTAACTTATTTCACCATCTCAAACATCAGCACCTGAATATTTACCAGGATTTTTTGAAAGAGTTTGAGAGTTCGGCAACTAGCACTACTCAACCAAAACGACGTAAGCTAGTTAGGCATGACATTGTCGAGTCACTTTCTGATTGTATGAGGTTAACTTTCCTCAGGTTAGCCTTTATGCAAAAACGCATCCAAGCCATTAGTGCAGCCTCTAAAAGGTTGTCCAGCACAGGACAGAGCATTGTCACCTTTAACAGGTCTGTGCTGAAGCTGCTTCAGTGAACAGGCTTGTATTCTTGAATAAGAATCTGAAAATTGATAAATGATGATAACCAGCTATTCTCTGCTAATGATGAGCATCCTTTTAGGCAACATTTAATTTGTTTTCAGCATTTTTGACAAGTTTTGGATATCATACGTCTTTTAATGGCAACATGTTGTATGGCACATTTATGCTTAAAAACTCTTTAGCTATCGGTTTATTTTTTTGGGAACTGCACTTCGGTTTTTTGTTGGATTTTGTTATTCTATATTTCTTGCAGACTTTTTCAGTCTGAATAACAAGAGGAAAACTTTAAATACTTTTTATTTTTATACTTTGCGACTGAATACTTTACTAAATAAAGTCATTGTAGTAAAATTTTATATTTATTATATTAAAATATAATACTGCAAAGCGACCTTTTAACATAATTTTGTCAAATAAATAACTATAAATTCTTTTTTTTTTTTTTAAATAAATTGCAAATTTTTTTACCGTCATTAAAATGCTCTGAAATATCATGTTATTATGTTTCAGCCATATCACCCACCCCTAGCTTGGCAGTCCCCAACATGTTGTGAGGGTCTGCTGGGAACATCTGGCAGAGTCCCCTGTCTGAAAGAGTTTCAACTCAATTGTTGAGGGCGGCTGACTCTGGTTGTAGCTGCAAGATCATTGGTCCCTGTAGTGACAGTAATCCCAGAACTTGTTGGTGAAGACCAACAGTGAGGGATGCCATCAAGCTGGAGAAGGAGTCCAATTGGGCTTTTTTTGGCTTGTGGGACTTGCAGCTGACGGGTATCAACGAGTGTAACACAGCTTCGGCAGTTGCTGAGGCAAACACTCACACATTAGAGGAGTTTGGAGAGGCCCTGGAGAGTGACTACTGGATGGCTTCAAAGAGGTTCTGGTCCACCATCAAAGGAGGGGGAAGCGGTCCCCCATCAAAACTGTGTTTAGTGGGAATGGGTAGCAGCTTGACCTCGACACGAGACGTTGTGGGTGGTGGAGGGAATTCCCGAAGACCTCCGCAATCCCAGCAACATGTTTTCTGATGAAGAAGCAGAGCCTGAGGACCTGGGTATAGGCTCTCCTATCACCAGGGCTAAGGTCAGTGAGGTTGTCAGAAAGCTCCTTGGTGGCGGACAAGATCTGCCCAGAGTTCCTTAAGGCTCTGGATGCTGTGGGGCTGTCTTGGTTGACACGCCTCTACAGCATTGCATGAATATCAGGGGGTATTGCCCCTGGGCTGGGGTGGTGGTCCCCTACTTTAAGAAGGCTAACTGGAGGGTATGTTCAAACTATCAGGGAAATCATACTCCTCAGCCTCCCTGGTAAGGTCTAAGTCATACGTTGCCCTTATCAAAAGTCTAATCTTACTTTCCTCCATACTCCACATTTCTTTCCAAGTAAGCTTTTCCTTCTCAACACCTTTCCAGTTCAACCACTGTCCCTGCTTAGCCTGAGCCACTATCAACAACCCTTAACGTTTCCTACAAACCAGCTTCAACTTTCCTGGAAATCCCTGATTTATTCATTCCATCTAGACCCTTATCAACATCTTTCAGAAACTGCACTAACTGCTCTATATTAATTTAAGTCTACCTGGTACCTAGTCCCACATAGGGCCTCCTCCTCCTCCAATTATAAATGCTAATGGGGAAATCTTACAACTCGCCATAATGCCGATTTCTATACTCTGCCAACCTGTGATGTGACCTTTAGTATTTAGGCTACTGTCCTGAAAAATGTTCTAAATCCACAACTTCTAGTGGCACTCTAAAATAATCAAACACTTTCTAAATAAGGCTATGTGGCACTGAATCAAATTCATTTACTAAATACTTCTTCTCAATCTTGGCTGTCTGATGCTAAATCATGCTAGTGTGCGCTAAACACCGTTTAAAACCTGGTATTCATGCACAGATGTATTTATCAAGCTATTCCTTTCTAAATAACTAGCTGATCTCTGTGCAGCTACACTAAATAAAATATCCCCCTATACTTTTAGGAGAAAGATCATTCGGAACTAACTCAGGTCCCCAGACTCTTTCTCCTTTGGCATAAAGATGGCTCCTGTCCTACACCATGCTTTAAGCTGCCCTCCCTTTTCATGGATCAACAACCCTTTAACAAAGTTAAATGGGTCCTTGTAAAATGCAGTCCTTACATGTTCTTTCTTAATGCTATTATTTACTTAATAATGATTTACTTAATATTAGGGGTATGGTTTGGGACAAATATGCATTGGTTGCCTCCCATCCTGTGCTGCTATTTGCCCTAGGCCTCTTAATTATAGCTATCTCTTCCATATTTCTTTCTCTGACTGACCTGTTCATCTAAGTATTAGCTACATCCCTTCTTAGCACCTCATCCTCCCCATCTGGAGTTGTGTTAATGATATCATGTAGACGGTGGTTTTCTACCTGCTGCTGGACTTCATCTGACTTGACCGACCGTTTAAAAAGTACTGATTGATGCAGCCACACTGCCTTTCTTTTAAAACACACCCTTCCCCCCCCCCCCCCCCGATGCATCTTAAGGCCTCTAACTAAAGAAACTTTCTGCCAGCCAGGACAAACCTGGAGCCTTACTCCCTCTAACCTACCACAACTTTAACCCTCCAGCTACGCTCAAATTTCCATAATAAACTATTTTGCTCAACTGTAGCCTTAGAGAATAGGTCCTTGCCCTTATCCCTCACTGCGTCACATCTCCAGGTCATAGTCATGTTACCATGTAATCTGCCTGTGAGTCATCTTCTGCTCCTGCTGTCACTAAACCTAGGGGTAAATTCTCTAGATTAATCCAAGCATATACTGTGCGATTTTGGCCACTTTTTGACACAATTTTTCACTCGTACGAGAATTTCTTAGATCGGGTCTCACATCGTGTAGTATAAACAGGGTAACGAGAACCAATTAACTTGTCACGCCCACCTCCCGATCGACAGTCGTATGGTTGGATGAAAATCAAACCGGTTTGAATCGTGTTATTGAGGGACTCGTGTTATTGAAGCAATGTTACGAGTGTCTACGACCCGATTAGCCACTATCTCGGGCACTGCGTAGAAGTGACGCTGAGTACGATTGCAGCTGTTCGTACGTCTTGGAATCAAACAATGGAAGCACAACTTGTGGAACTCTGGCAGTCTCACTTGTGCCTGTTTGACTTGGCCTTCAGGCATTATCATGAAATATGAGAGAGGAAAGTTGCGGAGAGATTACTGCACAATTAAAGCTACAAGTTACACACAATCGCACAAATTTCCAAGGCAGCGCTTTTAGCTTTGGATGACCCTTATATTCCTTTCGTGTTGTTTGACTTCATCTTCTTGGTCTTTTATTTCAAGTTCGACAATGTGAGCGGATCCCATAGGAGCATCGGGTCGTATAGTGTGAGAACATAAATCGTGAGCTGCGAACTATGTTCGACGATTGAAAATATTGTACAGTGTATGCCCGGCTTTAGTAGTAGTTTATGCTGGTTAAATAAGTTATTACAAAAAAAACATCTCCTCAGTTTCAAAATAATTTAGCTTGGTATCAAAAGGACTGGTACAATAGGTAAATATGAACACAATAGCAATACAAAAAATGTCAATGTTTATTTAAAAAAATGTATTTCACTCAAGGAAACCTCCATTGTAATAACTGGAGAGGTTCATTTACTGCTAAAATGAGATCATTTTGCTCTCTATTTGGCTTTATCTCCCATTAAGTACACTGAAACAATTCCAATAAAAAGTGTGAGCTACATTTTGAAAGTTGGATTGAGTATTATTTCCCATATGTATAGTATCGTACAACATGAGTTTCATGCTCATGTTCTATTATCTATTTTTTTATCACGTTATTTTGTTTACCTGTGCAATAAGGGCACGAAATAAGAATGAATGGTTATTCCACCAGCACGTTGTATGTTTTCACACTTAGCAAAACATGAAACAATAAATACATAGAAATCTTTCTTTCAACCAAATTAGGGAATTGTTTTTCTTGTTAAAAGAATTTTCAACGATTTTAAACTGTAAGTTGTGAGAGGAACTGGTCATATATACATAGTTTTCTCATTTTGTTATCTTAATATGTAATTTATTATGAAAAAAAAAATTGATAAATTTATTAAAAATTAGAGGAAGATTTTTTTAAATAGTTTTTTGCAGTGCAAATGACAATCTGTCTATGGCTAGCCGTAACATTTTTAAGTGAGCTTGAGCAAATTCTTACCTTAGTGTGGGATTAATGGCAACAGACCATACTCTGTCAAACATGGGAATTGTAGCCATTGGAGAGCTTGAAGTCAAAGTCCAAATCTAGAGAAAAAGGATCACCAACAAAAACATTTCAGTATAAGACTACACAAATGTGATATAAAATAAAATAAATATACAATAAAATGTTCAATTAAACACTACATATTTAGAGGTCACTCTCTCTCACTGTATAGTGAGAGAGAATGGGGAGAGAGAGAGAGAGAGACAGAGCTTTAAAACCGTATAACATAAAGTTTTCAACTTTTTTTCTACTAAACAAACGTGTATTAAAAAAACAAGAAGCAAGATTTATCTTACTCTGGCAGTTCGGTCCCTTGATCCACTAATGATGATTCTGTCTTTAGAGTCCAGGCAGTTCACCTCCTGGCAATGACCGGACAATCTGAATGGCAAATTCCTTCTTCTGTTATGGACCATAATCTTGCCATCGCTGACACAAAGGGAAATAAAAGTTTTATGTTTATTTTTTTCTTGGAGCTAGTTAAAATATCAGGATATTAGTTTTTCCAGAAAGAAAAATGTTCTCTTCTGATGTCTAATGTCTTCTAAATTCAAGTTCTGCTTTGATAACTTTTGCATTAATTCTTAATTATTCCTAATTATTTCATTCCCTGGTGTACTGGTTATTTGTACCTTTTTTTAGTCTCTCCATTGTGCCCAGGTTCAATTAAAGTTTAAGGTTTGTTACCTTATCATCTTTTCTCGTCCTCCTCCTGGCTTTTTCTTAGTCTCTTGCCTTTATCTGTGCTTATTTGTACGGAGGTGTTTTTTTTTTAATAATAACCTATTGTCAGAGACTTTTCAAATTGTGTCTCTCAGAGACGACAGCTAATTGAATTGTTTTGTGGTTAATTTATTGTGTTTAACCTCTATTCTGGGCTATGACATAACAGAAACTTTACAATAATCCATTTTAACAAAATCAAACAGACAAGGACACCAAATAATGTATGTCCTACCTTCCTCCGCTGATAAGGTGAGAGGCTGTTACAACAAAGCGACACACATCACCCTTGTGGCCAGAGTAGATCTCAAACGGTCTTCTCTGGAACCTCTTGGATTCATGGTGAAGATGATATGCTCCAACATTAGAAGCCTGGGACAAAAATAGTATGTCTCCATCCAGCTGCAACCAAGGCAACAGTCTAAAAATATAAGGAAATGCAAACATACACCAAATTAATGAAGAAATCGGTCCAGATCTTTAAAAGTGCTTTTTTGTTTGACGAATGTATCGAAGCGCTCGCCTGTATATTGAAAATGAAAATCTAATTATTTTGGGCTCTTTAACAGACCCAAAGGATTTCTGCAAACATGATTAAATTTTACATGTGGAACAATGCAGATGCTCTGAAAACAATACTATATATTTTCCAAGTTTAAGCTCTAAATTAATGGGGAAAATGAGGTCAAAGTTTTTTTATTTTTTTTATTTTCAAGTAAACCATTGTCATACTTCAAACTATATTCAAATAGTGACTTGCTGCCCCATCTTGTCCACGATTTAAACGTAGAACACCAGCTCTCACAAATACATTTCAGCAAACATTCTTCATCCGAATAAATCAAGAAAACCGTTTTATTTCAATTAGAGATCAAAAATTTTTTCAAATTATACCAAACATATGTTTATAAATTTCTTACAATTCCATGCAATTAACCCACATACTTGATTTTCCATTTGAGAGGAGTTGACCTTTTGCACACCCCATAGTACCAGTTTTGAGCCATCTTCACTCTCTCTTTCAGTGGTATATGAGGATATCTGTAATCAAAATGAAAGATCTTTATCAGAAATTCCAGGTTACTTATAAAGGTGGTCGACTATCATGATAGAGTTGTTAAACGAGTGTGTATGTACATACGCTGTTTGTACATATACTGTTTCTGAATGTTTAAGTAGACAGTTTTGACCAAAGCAACTTGCACTGCTTATGCAACATTAAATTTAGCTTTAATCTAAAATAAGCTACATTGTTGGAAATCACTAATCAGACTCTGTTTGAAGCAACAGTGTAGAGATAGAGGGAAGAATAGAAAAAAAAAAGTAGTATTTGGATGGGGAGGTACAGGGTAAGAGTTTGGGTGCGTACATGCGCACACAGACACACACACAGGGTACAGGGTAAGAGTTATAGATAGATAGATAGATAGAT